GTAAACACAGTCCGCCGTGCCATCCACAGATGCCACCTAAATCTTATTTTAATTATCCCTTATTCTACAAGCTAATATGCTCAAATTCTTACTGTAGGTTGATCTGCAAAGGGTCCATCAAATATCGATAATGAGTTTTTGATTTGACCTCATTTTAAAGGTTATATAGGTCAAAGGTTAAAAAATGTGCCGATTTCGTTTCATTGTCATAGCGCCTTCAGTTCTCAACAGATCCTTTTTCTATTTTACATGCATCTGGGAGCAATAGTCTGAGTCTAGTCTGAGTTCGATTTTGGGTGTGCTGCCATTCTTAGTTTGGCCACCAGGTGGCTTTTTCTGCAAAATTTCAATAATTTCAATAATTCTGCCACGTTGGACATGCTGCACGAAAGTCACATATGCTTCTTGCTCTCTAATTTACTCAACTCTTAGAAGAAACTCACCCCGCAATCACACCAGATCAGTCCGTCTCCGCGCTTTGTCGTCCCTTAGAACCCACTGGCTGCATTTTCACAGTGCAGCATGGCCAACTGGCTTGACAAGCGAGACTGTTGAGATCACGCGGTAATTGCAGAATATACTGGATCGCACGAGATGACACAATGTAAGTGGTATTAAACGCAACAACAAACAGGCAAAAGCTTTTCTGCCCAACCAATGGCCTTAAAGAACAGTTAAGTCAATTGCAATTGTCTTTTGAAAGATTTATACGCTCCTACCATGGCTAAATAGCCTATTTTTATACAAATGCTCTTCATTTCCTGTTCATTTTGGGTTAGTTATTTCTTTGGAAATTGCTATGTAGATAAAAATTTAGATCATTTCTTCCATTTGTTGCTGATCTAGCCTACAATACGATCAAGCGTCAACACAGGGTGTTTTACTCTGACAATTAACCAGAAGTTGTAATGTTGTGTCTCTGTCCCGATTAACCTGCTCTAAGCTCTGATTAATTGTTGCGTTGTGCTCCGATGTGCGGGAAAAAATAGACGCCTTGCTCATCTGCTGCGGAGGCCTCCGGTTTGCAAGAGCTGCGACGGAGGAGAAAAGCAAGGCAGCGGAAGCATTTTACGCACACACAATGACTGAAGTGAAACAGTAGTTCCACTGCCCGTCGGAGCAAAGACGGACCAAACACGCATCTGGTCTGATTTAGGGGTGATATGGTTCAACGTCTTCCTGTCCGTGTGAAGTGCCAAATGGAATACTGCGCTTCCTCCAAAGTGTGCACAACACTATTCATAGTTCACTTTGTCACTGATCAAATCTCAGACCGCTTTGTTTTCAAGCCGGTGAACTTTGAGTTATGGACTGGGAAGGACAAGAGTGATGTGCAAGATCATGTCTACAGCAAAGCAATGGCATGACTTTGATCTAAACATTCAGCATGCAGATCATACCTTCGGACGGGTGGTGAACAGCAATGACCAGCAGGAGTTGCAGTCAGGATCTGAGGGCCTTCAGGTGATGGCATGAAATGTCTCTTTGTTTCCGTAGTGTAGTGGTTATCACATTCGCCTCACACGCGAAAGGTCCCCGGTTTGTTACCGGGTGGAAACACTATGTTTACATCGCCGATTTGAAAGTGGTTTATCTCTGTGACCTGGACACCTTATGAAATATGCACTGTATTACTGCATTATGGATCCAGGTAAATATCAATCATCTGCTGCAAATAAATGGTATGACTGAGCTTTATGCAAACAGCATGCAGTTCGTATTTTCAGAAAGGTTGCAAGCAACGATAATTAGAAACACTGACAGTCAGGGTGCAGCGGCCTTCAGCCGATAGCACTGGCCGGTTGTCAGTTTCCGTAGTGTAGTGGTTATCACGTTCGCCTAACACGCGAAAGGTCCTCGGATCGATGCCGAGCGGAAACACTCATTTCTTATCAGTACTGAGATTAGGAAGATTCCACTCTGTGACCCCAAGACTGCAACGCAGATAATGCCTCATAATTCTGCCACGTTGGACATGCTGCACGAAAGTCACATATGCTTCTTGCTCTCTAATTTACTCAACTCTTAGAAGAAACTCACCCCGGAATCACACCAGATCAGTCCGTCTCCGCGCTTTGTCGTCCCTTAGAACCCACTGGCTGCATTTTCACAGTGCAGCATGGCCAACTGGCTTGACAAGCGAGACTGTTGAGATCACGCGGTAATTGCAGAATATACTGGATCGCACGAGATGACACAATGTAAGTGGTATTAAACGCAACAACAAACAGGCAAAAGCTTTTCTGCCCAACCAATGGCCTTAAAGAACAGTTAAGTCAATTGCAATTGTCTTTTGAAAGATTTATACGCTCCTACCATGGCTAAATAGCCTATTTTTATACAAATGCTCTTCATTTCCTGTTCATTTTGGGTTAGTTATTTCTTTGGAAATTGCTATGTAGATAAAAATTTAGATCATTTCTTCCATTTGTTGCTGATCTAGCCTACAATACGATCAATCGTCAACACAGGGTGTTTTACTCTGACAATTAACCAGAAGTTGTAATGTTGTGTCTCTGTCCCGATTAACCTGCTCTAAGCTCTGATTAATTGTTGCGTTGTGCTCCGATGTGCGGGAAAAAATAGATGCCTTGCTCATCTGCTGCGGAGGCCTCCGGTTTGCAAGAGCTGCGCCGGAGGAGAAAAGCAAGGCAGCGGAAGCATTTTACGCACACACAATGACTGAAATGAAACAGTAGTTCCACTGCCCGTCGGAGCAAAGATGGACCAAACACGCATCTGGTCTGATTTAGGGGTGATATGGTTCAACGTCTTCCTGTCCGTGTGAAGTGCCCAATGGAATACTGCGCTTCCTCCAAAGTGTGCACAACACTATTCATAGTTCACTTTGTCACTGATCAAATCTCAGACCGCTTTGTTTTCAAGCCGGTGAACTTTGAGTTATGGACTGGGAAGGACAAGAGTGATGTGCAAGATCATGTCTACAGCAAAGCAATGGCATGACTTTGATCTAAACATTCAGCATGCAGATCATACCTTCGGACGGGTGGTGAACAGCAATGACCAGCAGGAGTTGCAGTCAGGATCTGAGGGCCTTCAGGTGATGTCATCAAATGTTTCTTTGTTGCCGTAGTGTAGTGGTTATCACGTTCGCCTCACACGCGAAAGGTCCCCGGTTCGATACCGGGCGGAAACACTATGTTTACATCGCCCATTTGAAAGTGGTTTATCTCTGTGACCTGGACACCTTATGAAATATGCACTGTATTACTGCATTATGGATCCAGGTAAATATCAATCATCTGCTGCAAATAAATGGTATGACTGAGCTTTATGCAAACAGCATGCAGTTCGTATTTTCAGAAAGGTTGCAAGCTACGATAATTAGAAACACTGACAGTCAGGGTGCAGCGGCCTTCAGCCGATAGCACTGGCCGGTTGTCAGTTTCCGTAGTGTAGTGGTTATCACGTTCGCCTAACACGCGAAAGGTCCTCGGATCGATGCCGAGCGGAAACACTCATTTCTTATCAGTACTGAGATTAGGAAGATTCCACTCTGTGACCCCAAGACTGCAACGCAGATAATGCCTCATAATTCTGCCACGTTGGACATGCTGCACGAAAGTCACATATGCTTCTTGCTCTCTAATTTACTCAACTCTTAGAAGAAACTCACCCCGCAATCACACCAGATCAGTCCGTCTCCGCGCTTTGTCGTCCCTTAGAACCCACTGGCTGCATTTTCACAGTGCAGCATGGCCAACTGGCTTGACAAGCGAGACTGTTGAGATCACGCGGTAATTGCAGAATATACTGGATCGCACGAGATGACACAATGTAAGTGGTATTAAACGCAACAACAAACAGGCAAAAGCTTTTCTGACCAACCAATGGCCTTAAAGAACAGTTAAGTCAATTGCAATTGTCTTTTGAAAGATTTATACGCTCCTACCATGGCTAAATAGCCTATTTTTATACAAATGCTCTTCATTTCCTGTTCATTTTGGGTTAGTTATTTCTTTGGAAATTGCTATGTAGATAAAAATTTAGATCATTTCTTCCATTTGTTGCATCTAGCCTACAATACGATCAATCGTCAACACAGGGTGTTTTACTCTGACAATTAACCAGAAGTTGTAATGTTGTGTCTCTGTCCCGATTAACCTGCTCTAAGCTCTGATTAATTGTTGCGTTGTGCTCCGATGTGCGGGAAAAAATAAACGCCTTGCTCATCTGCTGCGGAGGCCTCCAGTTTGCAAGAGCTGCGACGGAGGAGAAAAGCAAGGCAGCGGAAGCATTTTACGCACACACAATGACTGAAGTGAAACAGTAGTTCCACTGCCCGTCGGAGCAAAGACGGACCAAACACGCATCTGGTCTGATTTAGGGGTGATATGGTTCAACGTCTTCCTGTCCGTGTGAAGTGCCAAATGGAATACTGCGCTTCCTCCAAAGTGTGCACAACACTATTCATAGTTCACTTTGTCACTGATCAAATCTCAGACCGCTTTGTTTTCAAGCCGGTGAACTTTGAGTTATGGACTGGGAAGGACAAGCGTGATGTGCAAGATCATGTCTACAGCAAAGCAATGGCATGACTTTGATCTAAACATTCAGCATGCAGATCATACCTTCGAACGGGTGGTGAACAGCAATGACCAGCAGGAGTTGCAGTCAGGATCTGAGGGCCTTCAGGTGATGGCATGAAATGTCTCTTTGTTTCCGTAGTGTAGTGGTTATCACGTTCGCCTCACACGCGAAAGGTCCCCGGTTCGATACCGGGCGGAAACACTATGTTTACATCGCCGATTTGAAAGTGGTTTATCTCTGTGACCTGGACACCTTATGAAATATGCACTGTATTACTGCATTATGGATCCAGGTAAATATCAATCATCTGCTGCAAATAAATGGTATGACTGAGCTTTATGCAAACAGCATGCAGTTCGTATTTTCAGAAAGGTTGCAAGCTACGATAATTAGAAACACTGACAGTCAGGGTGCAGCGGCCTTCAGCCGATAGCACTGACCGGTTGTCAGTTTCCGTAGTGTAGTGGTTATCACGTTCGCCGAGCGTGCGAAAGGTCCTTGGATCGATGCCGAGCGGAAACACTCATTTCTTATCAGTACTGAGATGAGGAAGATTCCATTCTGTGACCTCAAGACTGCAACGCAGATAATGCCTCATAATTCCGCCACGTTGGACATGCTGCACGAAAGTCACATATGCTTCTTGCTCTCTAATTTACTCAACTCTTAGAAGAAACTCACCCCGGAATCACACCAGAGGCGTAGTCAGTCCGTCTCCTCTCCGCGCTTTGTCGTCCCTTAGAACCCACTGGCTGCATTTTCACAGTGCAGCATGGCCAACTGGCTTGACAAGTGAGACTGTTGAGATCACGCGGTAATTGCAGAATATACTGGATCGCACGAGATGACACAATGTAAGTGGTATTAAACGCAACAACAAACAGGTAAAAGCTTTTCTGCCCAACCAATGGCCTTGAAGAACAGTTAAGTCAATTGCATTTGTCTTTTTATAGATTTATATGCTCCTACCATGGCTAAGTAGCCTATTTTTATACAAATGCTCTTCATTTCCTGTTTATTTTGGGTTAGTTATTTCTTTGGAAATTGCTATGTAGATAAAAATTTACATAATTTCTTCCATGTGCTGGTGATCTAGCCTGCAATACGATCAAGCGTCAACATAGGGTGTTTTACTCTGACAATTAACCAGAAGTTTTAATGTTGTATCTCTGTCCCGATCAACCTGCTCTACGCTCTGATGAATTGTTGCGTTGTGCTCCAGTGTGCGGGAAAAAATAGAAGCCTTGTTCATCTGCTGCGGAGGCCTCCGGTTTGCAAAAGATGCGTTTTCAGTCCATCTCCGCCCCGCTGCGTGACTCGCCGCGCTTTGTCGTCCCTTAGAAACCACTGGCTGCATTTTCACAGTGCAGCATGGCCGGCTGGCTTGAGAAGCGAGACTGTTGAGATCACGCAGTGTTATGTATGAGTATTTTGTGTACAGAACTGTATATCATTTGTAAATGGAGATTTGTTAGACACTATTTAAATGCCCATTATGACTGGTCAGCGATTTGTTTATTTTTGTTATTATTTAGCTCCCTCTGGTGCTATGTCTGAAGAAAAACATGATCTGATGCAATATTACTTCTTTGTGATGAAATAGACTAGTGCTTTCTAGAAGATTCTGGCTTCTTCCTGCCTGGAGGGGGCGGGATCACCCAGGAATCCTGTAGATCTTTCCAGATTGTTGCTAGTCTATATAAATGCTGTGATTTTGGTCAGTAGAAGCAGAGTTTTTGGTTTGGCAACAGAGTTACATAGTGGCATTAGAGTTTTATTATAAGATTGCACAGTGGTTTATTTGTGGAAGCTTTTTTTTATCAGTGAAGAATAAATTTGTTAAAGTTGTCATTGCTGGTTTTCTTTGTTATGATTTTCAAGTCATAACAAATTGGAGGTTCCACCGAGATAAATCATTCATTGGATCAACGATTGGATTCACCAAAGATTAAAGCTGAATAATTATTTTAAATCTTGTGACTATTTGAAAAACCAGCAATCATGACTTTTGATGTTGAAAACATGGTTTCCTGAAAACTCCAACCCAGGAATCAATTGTGCTGGCAAAGAAGAAGGACTTGCTGCAAATAGCCTCAACCCTTGGATTATCTGATGTGAAATCATCAATGAAGAAACAAGAAATATTTAACATTTTGGTGCAACATTTCATCGAAGAAGATATATTTGGGGAAGAAGCAGCAGAATTGATTAAAGATGTGGTAGTGCCTGCAACAGAGCTGCAAAGACTTGAGGTGCAGCTACGCCTGAAACAACTGGAACTGGAAGAAAGAAGGTTGGAGAAGGAGAGATAACTAGAAGAAAGAAGACTGGAAGAAAGAAGGTTGGAGATGGAGAAAGAACTGGAGGAAAGAAGGATGGAGAAGGAAGAAAGAAGGTTGGAGAAAGAAAGAACTAGAAGAAAAAAGGATGCAGTACGAACTGGAAATGAAGAAAATTAAAGCAGGTACTGTTACAAAATCTTTTGGACTTTCTGATCATTTTGATGTGGTTAAACTCATCAAACTTGTTCCTCCCTTCCTAGAAAATTATGTAGACTAATACTTAACCCATTTTGAAAAAATTGCTGAAAATTTGAAATGGCTAAAAGAGCATTGGACAATGATGTTACAAAGTGTTCTTACTGGTAAAGCTAGGAAAATCTATAACCAGTTATCTGTCCAACAGTGTTCTGATTATGATTTTGTCAAATCTGCCATTCTGAAGGGTTATGAATTAGTCCCCGAGGCTTACAGGCAAAAATTTAGGAATTCTCGCAAAGGAAGCCAGTCAAACTCATGTTGAATTTGGCAGGTTGAAGGAACAGTTGTTTGATCAGTGGTGTAATTCCATGAAAGTTGAGAAAGATTTTGACTGAATGAGGCAAGTTATTCTGGTTGAGGAATTCAAAAGGTGTATCCAGCCTGATATCAAGACTTTCCTTGAGGAGAAACAAGCCATTACTTTGCAAGATGTTTCCACCCTGGCTGATAGTTATGCATTGACTCATAAGTCTTCTTTTGTCCAAAAATCCACTTTTTCTAAATTTCAAGGCAAGGCTCAGTCCAAGACTTCTAATAACACTTCTAATGATTCTAAGGCCACTTCTGAGAGGAAACCTTCCAGTGAGAAGCAATCCTCTGATTCTTTACCTTCTGTGTCTTGCCAATACTGCAAAAAGCAAGGTCACCTTACTTCTGAGTGTCACGCTCTCAAGAAAAAACAACAATGAGAAGAAACCAAGCCAACTGCTTTCACTAGGAGAGAATCTCTTGTATCAAAGGTCAGTTCGCCTGATCTTCTACCTTCTGTGTCTGATTCTGTTATGGAGGGTTTTGAGCCATTCATCACCAATGTTTTGTCTCACTTTCACATTATTTTTCCTCATCAGCTCCTGCTCGAATTCTAAGGGATACTGGGTCTTCCCAATCTCTTATTCTGGCAGATATTCTGCCTTTTTCAGACAAATCGTCTACTCAGGCTAATGTCCTTATTCAAGGAGTAGAATGTGGTTTTACAAGTGTACCTCTCCATAATGTTCACCTCAAATCAGACTTGGTCTCTGGGCATGTTACTGTTGGTGTTAGGTCTTCTCTTCCTTTCAAAGGTGTTCATTTGCTTCTTGGTAATGAACTTGCTGAGGATAAGGTTGTGCTGTACCCTGTTGTAACTGACACTCCTTTGATTGATCAAGAATGTGACCCTATAGAGGAGGAAATTCCAGACCTCTATCCTTCATGTGCAGTTACTCGTTCTATGGCCAAACAGGCTATTCAAGATGATGCTGACCTGGGCTTTAACCTGGCTGACACCTTCATTGGGCTGTCTTTTCATCAGGAACCTTCCAGTCCTGAGATGTCTGGGAAATCTTCAGACTTGTCCTCGTCAGGTCATTCTAATGACATTCTGTTTTGGAAAAAACTTATTCAGGAGCAACAACAAGCTTGTGATCTAGCGCATCTTCTACCACAGGCTGTAAGTGAACAAGAGGCTACTCAAGTTCCTGTCTGTATTTACGACAAAAATGGTGTGCTTTTGAGAAAGTGGCATCCACCTGATGTTTCTGCAGATGAAGAGTGGATGATCATCCATTAAATTGTTCTTCCAAAGTCTTATCGTCAAGAAACTCTTAGTCTGGCCCATGACAATCCTATGTCAGGTCATTTGGGTATCAAGAAGACCCTTCAACGTGTCAGGAACCATTTCTTCTGGCCTTCCATGAGGTCCGATGTACAGGAGTACTGCAAATCCTGTCATACTTGTCAAATGGTTGGGAAGCCGAACCAGAATATTCCAAAGGCTCGACTTAAGCCCATTCCCGCTTTTGAAGAACCTTTCAGTCGGATCATCATTGACTGTGTTAGACCATTGCCGAAGACTAGATCTGGTTGTGAGTACCTACTGACTATCATGTGTGCTTCCACCCGGTTCCCTGAGGCAATTCCACTTCGTAACATCAAGGCGAAGACTATCATCAAGGCTCTAAGTTTTTCTGCTTTGTTAGTCTTCCTAAGTCTATTCAGTCTGATCAAGAGTCAAATTTCATGTCTGGCATATTTCAATAAGTTATGCTTGAGCTTGGTATTAAACAATACAGGTCATCAGCTTACCATCCTGAGAGTCAAGGTGCTTTGGAGAGGTTCCATCAAACCCTGAAGAACATGATAAGGACCTACTGCCTTGACACAGAGAAAGACTGGGATGAAGGTGTCCATTTTCTTCTGTTTGCTGCCTGTGAAGCTGTTCAGGAGTCTCTTGCGTTCAGCCCTTTTGAGCATGTTTTTAGGCATACAGTCCGTGGACCTCTGAAGCTTCTAAAGGAAAAGTTGCTGCCCAAAGGTGATGTCCCAATGAACTTGCTTCAGTACGTCTCTGACTTCCGTAATCGTCTCTCTAAGGCTTGTGACTTTGCTAAGTCTAATCTCAAAGAGGCTCAGGGCAAAATGAAAGCCAGATATGACCTTCATTCCCAAATTAGAAGTTTTAAAGCTGGTGACAAAGTCCTTGCGCTTTTGCCAGTTTCTGGAAACCCTCTAAGAGCCCGATATTTCGGCCCTTACACTGTCCTCAAAAAGGTCAGTGATCTAAATTACATAATTTTAACCCCTGGAAGGAGGAAACAAAAACAAATGTGTCACATCAACATGCTGAAAGAATACATTGACAGAGACACTCAGCAAAAGCCAGTCAACGTGGTAAATACAATTGAACTGGAAAATTCTGAAGAAGATTGTGACTGCCCCTTGGAAAATGAACCTGGTCCAGCCAAACTTGAAAATTCAGACATTCTTCAAAATATTGACAGCAAGTTGTCCCACCTGGACCCTTTTCAACAACAACAGCTAAAGCAGCTCATATTTGAATATAGTCACATATTCCCTGATGTTCCATCGAGGACTGATATGGTTTACTATGATGTCATCCTACAAGATAATGCCAAGCCTGTAAAACAGCATCCTTACAGAATGAATCCAGAGAGGCAGAAATACCTTAAACAAGAAGTCAAATATCTGCTTGAAAATGACTTTGTTGAACCAAGTAAAAGTGACTTTTGTACAGCTACAGTTGTTTACTTATGTCATATTGTAGGACAGGGTCAAGTCAAACCAATTGATGCAAAAGTAAAAGTTATCACTGAATTTCCTGAGCCTACAACTGAAAGACAACTAATGAGATTTCTAGGGATGGCAGGCTACTACAGAAAATTCTGTAAAAATTTCTCTATCATTTCTGAACCTTTGACAAATTTACTGAAGAAAAATGCTAAATTTGTTTGGGATGAAAAATGTCAAAATTCATTTGACCAACTGAAAGCTATCCTCAAAAATGGACCAGTTCTCTTATCTCCTAATTTCAAAAAGGAGTTCAAGTTGGCTGTTGATGCCAGTGATATTGGTGCAGGTGCAGTTTTACTGCAAGAAGACACTGTTGGAGTAGATAATCCTGTTTGTTACTTTTCCAAAAATTTGATAAACATCAGAAAACCTATTCAACAATTGAAAAAGAATGTTTGGCACATGTTTTGGCTTTACAACATTTTGAAGTCTATTTGACTTGTTCAGCTACTTCCATCAAGGTCTTCAGAGATCACAATCCCCTCACATTCTTGCATAAGATCAAAAACAAGAATCAAAGATTACTGAGATGGAGTTTACTTTTGCAAGAGTATGATTTGGATCTTTGTTACATCAGGGGAAAAGATAATGTTGTTCCAGATGCACTTTCTCGCATGTAATTTTACTTTTCTATTTGATTGTGAAAATTGCACTAGTTGTTATGTATATGATTGTTATAATGATCAATGATACTTTTGTTTAAAGTTCAAGATTACACTGATTATAAAACTGTGTTAATTTTAACAAAAGAAAGCTTTTAGCAAACCTTTCTTTTCTTAAAGAGGGGAGTGTTATTTTTGAGTATTCTGTGTACAGCACTGTATATCATTTGTAAATGGAGATTTGTTAGACACTATTTCAATGCCCATTATGACTGGTCAGCGATTTGTTTATTTTGGTTATCATTTTGCACCCTCTGGTGGTATGTCTGTAGAAAAACATGATCTGATGCAATACCACTTATTTGTGATGAAATAGACTAGTGCTTTCTAGAAGCTTCTGGCTTCTTCCTGCCTGGAGGGGGCGGGATCACCTAGGAATACTGTAGATCTTTCCAGAATGTTGCTAGTCTATATAAATGCTGTGATTGTGGTCAGCAGAAGCAGAGTTTTTGTTTTGGCAACAGAGTTACAAAGTGGCATTAGAGTGTTATTATAAGATTGCACAGTGGATTATTTGTAGAAGTTTTTTTTAATTAGTGAAGAATAAATTTGTTTAAGTTGTCATTGCTGGTTTTCTTTGTTATGATTGTCAAGTCATAACAGTGGTAATTGCAGAATATACTGGATCGAACGAGATGATACAATGTAAGTGGTATGAAACGCAATAACATAAAATTTACGCAAAAATTACCATGGCTAAGTAGCCTATTTGTAGATAAATGCTCTTAATTTCCGCTTCATTTTGGGTTAGTTATTTCTTTGGAAATTGCTATGTAGATAAAAATTTACATAATTTCCTCCATTTGTTGCTGATCTAGTCTACAATACGATCAAGCGTCAACACAGGGTGTTTTACTCTGACAATTAACCAGAAGTTGTAATGTTGTGTCTCTGTCCCGATTAACCTGCTCTACGCTCTGATTAATTGTTGCGTTGTGCTCCGATGTGCGGGAAAAAATAGAAGCCTTGCTTATCTGCTGCGGAGGCCTCCGGTTTGCAAGAGCTGTGACAGAGGCAAAAAGCAAGGCAGCGGAAGCATTGTACGCACACACAGTGACTGGAGTTGAACAGTAGTTCCACTGCCCGTCGGAGCAAAGATGGACCAAACACGCATCTCGTCTGATTTAGGGGTAATATGGTTCAACGTCTTCCTGTCTGTGTGAAGTGCCAAATGGAATACTGCGCTTCCTCCAAAGTGTGCACAACACTATTCATAGTTCACTTTGTCACTGATCAAATGTCAGACCGCTTTGTTTTCAAGCTAGTGAACTTTGAATTATGGACTGGGATGGACAAGAGTGATGTGCAAGATCATGTCTAGTTTGATCTAAACATTCAGCATGCAGATCATTCCTTTGGACGGGTGGTGAACAGCAATGATCAGCAGGAGTTGCGGTCAGCATCTGAGGGCTTTCAGATGATGGCATAAAATGTCTCTTTGTTTCTGTAGTGTAGTGGTTATCATGATCGCCTCACACGCGAAAGGTCCCCGGCTCAGTACCGGGCGGAAACACTATTTTTTACATCACCGATTTGAAAGTGATTTATCTTTGTGACCTGGAGACCTTATGAATGTGCACTGTATTACTGCATTATGGATCCAGGTAAATATCAATGATGTGCTGCAAAGAAATGGTATGACTGAGCTTTATACAAACAGCATGCAGTTCGTATCTTCAGAAAGGTTGCAATCTACAATGATTAGAAACACTGACAGTCAGGGTGCAGCTGCCATCAGCCAATAACAGTGGTTGGTTTTCAGTTTCCGTAGTGTAGTGGTTATCGCGTTTGCCAAACACGTGACAGGTCCTTGGCTCGATGCCGAGCGGAAATGCTCATTTCTTATCAGTACTGAGATTAGGAAGATTCCACTCTGTGACCTCAAGACTGCAACGCAGATAATGCCTCATAATTCTGCCCGTTGGATATTGGACTTCTTGCTCTCTAATTTACTCAACTCTTAGAAGAAAAGAATCACACAGATATGCTTCTAGAACCCACTGGCTGCATTTTTAATTTGGCTTGAGAAGCGAGACTGTTGAGATCAACTGGATGCGACGAGATGACACAATTAGAAGAAAGTTAAGTCAATTGCAATTGTCTTTTGAAAGATTTATACGCTCCTACCATGGCTAAAATTTTTTATACAAATGCTCTTCATTTCCTGTTCATTTTGGGTTAGTTATTTCTTTGTTGCTATGTAGATAAAAATTTGATCATTTCTTCCATTTTTTGCATCTATTAGATTACGATCACTGTCAACACAGGGTGTTTTACTCTGACAATTAACCAGAAGTTGTAATGTTGTGTCTCTGTCCCGATTAACCTGCTCACGCTCTGATTAATTGTTGCGTTGTGCTCCGATGTGCGGGAAAAAATAGAAGCCTTGCTTATCTGCTGCGGAGGCCTCCGGTTTGCAAGAGCTGTGACAGAGGCAAAAAAGCAAGGCAGCGGAAGCACAATCTGTCCACACAATGACTGGAGTTGAACAGTAGTTCCACTGCCCTTTTTAAAGCAAATACGGACCAAACACGCATCTAGTCTGATTTAGGGGTAATATGGTTCAACGTCTTCCTGTCTGTTTGAAGTGCCAAATGGAATACTGCTCCTCCAAAGTGAAAAACAACACTATTCATAGTTCACTTTGTCACTGATCAAATGTCAGACCGCTTTGTTTTCAAGCCAGTGAACTTTGAATTATGGACTGGGATGGACAAGAAGATGTGCAAGATCATGTCTAGTTTGATCTAAACATTCAGCATGCAGATCATTCCTTTGGACGGGTGGTGAACAGCAATGATCAGCAGGAGTTGCGGTCAGCATCTGAGGGCTTTCAGATGATGGCATAAAATGTCTCTTTGTTTCTGTAGTGTAGTGGTTATCATGATCGCCTCAATTGAAGGTCCTTGCTCAGTACGGGCGGAAACACTATTTTTTACATCACCGATTTGAAAGTGATTTATCTTTGTGACCTGGAGACCTTATGAATGTGCACTGTATTACTGCATTATGGATCCAGGTAAATATCAATGATGTGCAGCAAAGAAATGGTATTTGAGCTTTATACAAACAGCATGCAGTTCGAATTATCTTCAGAAAGGTTGCAAAGAATGATTAGAAACACTGACAGTCAGGGGCAGCTGCCATCAGCCAATAACAGTGGTTGGTTTTCAGTTTCCGAGTGTGGAGTGCCAAATGGCGTTTGCCAAACACATGACAGGTCCTTGGCTCGAACCGAGCGGAAATGCTCATTTCTTATCAGTACTGAGATTGGGAAGATTCCACTCTGTGACCTCAAGACTCCAGAGATAATGCCTCATAATTCTGCCACGTTGGACATGCTGCACAAAAGTCACATATGCTTCTTGCTCTCTAATTTACTCAACTCTTAGAAGAAACTCACCCCGGAATCACACCAGATGCGTGTTCAGGCCGTCTCCGCCCCGCTGCGTGTCTCTCCGCGTTTTGTCGTCCATTAGAACCCACTGGCTGCATTTTCACTGTGCAGCATGGCCGGCTGGCTTGAGCCAGGAGACTGTTGGATCTGGTAATTGCAGAATATACTGGATCGCACGAGATGACACAATGTAAGTGGTATTAAACGCAACAACAAGCAGGCAAAAGCTTTTCTGTCCAACCAATGGGGTTAAGGTCAATTGCATTTGTCTTTTTAAAGATTTATATGCTCCTACCATGGCTAAGTAGCCTATTTATATTTAATGCTCTTCATTTCCTGTTCATTTTGGGTTAGTTATTTCTTTGGAAACTGCTATATAGAGAAAAATTTACATAATATCTTCCAGTTGTTGCTGATCTAGCCTACAATACGATCAAGCATCAACACAGGGTGTTTTACTCTGACAATTAACCAGAAGTTGTAATGTTGTGTCTCTGTCCCGATTAACCTGCTCTACGCTCTGATTAATTGTTGCGTTCAACTAAACGATGCTTGAGCTGGAAGAAATAGACATGCTTATCTGCTCGGAGACCTCCAGTTTGCAAAAGCTGCGGAAATAAAAACGGAGGTGTTGCAAGGCAGCGGATTGATTCTGCCACACACAAAACTGAAGTGAAACTTATTGTATGATGATAAATGTGGGACCAAATTAGCATCTGGTCTGATTTAGGGGTGATATGGTTCAGATTCTTCCTGTTTGTGAAGTGCCAAATGATTGTAAAAAGGAAAGCAAAACTGTATTTGTAATTTGACCAAACATATACATTAGGGGGAATTAAATTCTAAAAGTCGGGAGCTGAATGTGGTGGACGAGGAAGAGGAGATGCCTTTGTTGGAAGGGAGTGATGACGATGCAGATGAGGAGGACCCTGAAGTGCATCCAGTCACGGTCAGCAGAACCAGCGAAAAGCCCAGCAGTTCTACCGCGAAGCAGCCAGATGGGAAGTACCCTAGATGATGTTATTCCAGAGGAGCTAATGAGCCAGGAGCCTGTGGCTTGCATTGAGAGGCGGATGGGGGCTGCTGAAGTCCCCACTACGCCTCTCGAGAAGAAAGAAGTACTGGTTACCGAGCCCTCTGGAGGTGCAGGTGCTTCGGACACGGCAGATCAGGATATTGCTGGGTCTGGTGTGCTGTTTACCCAGTCGGAGGAGGCTGAGGCTGGGCTGATGGAAGAGGATGATGCTGATAAGGCCAATTGCTGAATTTGAAACTTAAAGGTCTGTAGAACAGGCAATAATTTGCATGAAAAGGAACCATTGGTAGAGCGAATAACACAAGAATGAAAGAATTTAGAAAGGGGACATAGAAGAGATGATCTGCTTGTTCTTGTCTCTTTTCTATTTATGTATTTCATAGTAAAAAATGCCAATGGCTTAAGAAACAATGGTCAACTTAAACAGATGCTTGAGTCCTGTAAAGCGGATATAATTTGTCTACAAGAGACGAACTGGCACTGTGAGAAAATTGATGAACTAGAGGAGGATTTTCGTGGTGAATGTGCAGGTCAATAACGGAAATGAATCCTCTTGTGGTGTTTGAATTTTATTGATTTTGCCACTGTTAAAAACTGCTGCTTATTGTATGATGAATAAATGTGGAAGACAAATTAGCATTGAATATACATTTGAATTTGTCTTCAGATTGTTGAATGTTGCTTAAAATGATGAAAAAGAAAGCGGAAAAATGTTTTTGTAAAGAATGAAACATATACATTGAATGTAACGATTCTGAATCGCGGTTTTTTTAAAGCGTAGTAACACCACCTGCTACCATGGGGCGAACATCTGAGCTTTCCCTTTTCCTTCATTAATCCCCGTGCTGTCCTGAACGAAAGCGCCAAACATCAAAGGGCATGGCAAATGCTTCCGGAAAAAACTCGACTGACATCTGTATTTTTTGGCTACGTGCTGAAAGGAGTCAAGCAAATGAAAACAGAATCATCTCCTATTAACCAGTATGCAACTCTAAGAAAAGTATATCTGTTCCCGTTTACTTTGCTTGATTAGCAATCAAATGGTGGATTCGTTTACTCTTTAAGTTGTATGAGTAGAGCTGTTTATTATGGCAAAATGTTTGATTGCTGAATTTTGAAATTTAAATGGCCATAGAACAGCACAGATTTGCATGAACATGATTGCCATTGCCATGCCATTAGACTGGAAAATGAAAACGGAGGAAAACTTGATAATTTATATCTCACATTCGCGTTTCATCCGCTTTTCAAAAAAAATTACCACCTTCTGTATTTTTTGAGTGCTTAAAATGCATTGACCTAATTATAATTAAATCTGTTTTTTCTAGAATAACTAAAAAATGTAGCCAATTATTTAATGTTAGAAGATTTGGGGGGAGAGAAGCAATTTCTGAAGAAATTGCACTTGATTATTCTGAAAGCTGAACACTGTGATGCTGTCTTGAATACAATTAAGTTTGAATGATTTGAATGTTTGCTGAGAATTAGCCAGGACACTGAATAGCTGCCATGAAAAAATAATAATATTTGAATTATTTCTGGCGCTTGAATGTTTATTAAAAAAAACTGAAAAAAAGTTATCTGACAATGAAAGAATGAAAGAATGATTGAATGAATGAGTTAAACATGAACCAGCTCAAAGTTAAAATGTATTAACAGTAAAAAAAAAAAGAAAAAAAAAGACTGCGGTCTAAAATGTCCAAGATGGATACAGAAAGACACAGACAGACACAGACAGGCAGGCAGAGTGACAGATAAGAGACAGACAGACTGACAGACAATCTTTTAGACTGTTCATGATTTCAAAGCTTGAGCTGCTTCACATGTAATTTTCTCTGTAAGAGGTTTTAACTGCCAAGAACTCAGGTTGGTGAAATAGGCCCTTTCAGTATTCAAATTTCACTGTGCTGTTACACATAGGCGATTGGCCGAACTGCAATTGATTCGGCCAATCACCTGTGGGCAACGGCACAGTGACATTTGAATAACCTATGACTGCAGTCTAAAATGTCCAAGATGGACACAGAAACACCCAGACAGACACAGACAGGCAGGCAGACTGACAGACAGCCTTTTAGATTGTTCATGATTTCAAACCTTGAGCTGCTTCACAAGTAATTGTCTCTGTATGAGGCTTTAACTGCCAAAGAGCATTTTATATGTAATCTAATGACCTCAGTATTGATTAGCTGAGTCCCCAGCTGTACGGGTTGCCTGCCATTTATTCATTCACTCATTCATTCTTCATAAATTATCTACGGTATGATAGGCTATTTGATTTGTTCGTAAGATTTTTTTTTTTTTTTTTTACAAGAATAGAACACAGATAACAAAACACAATATGAGACAAAGTTGTGAAGGATTGAGAATATTTTAAATATTCATTTGACTAAATTAACAGACTAAATACATATCCATGTTTGCTGATGCGCTATGCAAGGAGCTACGGGGAGAAGGCGACAGCTCCTGTCGCTAGCAGTGGCTGCCGGTGGACAGAGCTGGGAGGGCGATAAACATGTCTTTAAACTGATTATTAGTCTTAAACTGTTTTCAGTCATTTCCCTTGATTAAAGATACTCTAATTCTCCCATCTCAGGTGGAGCTAATTCTTTTCGTTATTCGAAATGCTTAAATTAAGTGAATCCAATATGCCCGGGATATATAGTACAGTTTGCTGTAACAACAGTCGTCAGTGAATCTCCAAACGACAGTTTCCTTCCATCGCAAAAGACTTCGCTACACTGGCAGAATAAATGGTTGGCTTCCTTCAGAAGGGACCACTGGCAGCCTGAATCTAACTCCCAGGTATTGTGCTGTCAGCGCTTTGTTTTCAGCATGATGCATTTGTCTTCAACTTAGCTAATTATTATTTTTTCTCCTTCGTCGCTCTTTGGCAGGAAAACTCTAGGGAATCACTTTAAATGCTCAAATACAGTTTATTAACTTATAGGGAAACCGTAATTGAGTCGCGCTATTAATTGTTCGGTTTCTCAAGCCAGTTCTTAATATTTCAGGAGACTAAGCAGTAATTAACATTGTTCACTTGCTAGCTAGATACAGTAACGTTACAGAACTTGAATAGGTTACAGACGGTAACTTAGGCATTGCTTACCTGCGAGATATAACCGCACGCATTTGTCCTGTGCTAGCTCTTCCGTGATCTGCGCGAATATTCTCGGAGGTTTCGCTTATCTTAATGGTAATGCTGGCAAACAGCTGCTGCTGACTTAGCGAGCCTGTATTGTAATGAGTGAAGACATAACTTTTGCCGATAAACGTTGCATTTGACCAACACTAGTTCTGCTAAGCAGTAATTTAATTTAAGGTAGACTGCAAACCGCGGCATATCGCATTCATTAACATATGTTTCTATTTTTAACGTTGCATTTCTAGCGAACGTTTTTACCGTTTCATTGATTGACAGAAGGCTATGCCAATACTTGTCTCCTAGCAACAGTGCGAGGAGCAAACAACCGCCACACACACAGAGCCGCC